CCGATGGTCACCAAGAAATTTTAGCATGGTCACTGAGAATATCTCTCTGGGGCATGTGTCTCTGGATCAGTCAAAAGTCGCCTCCTTCTTATATATAGAAAAAGGGCGATTCTGACTGAATAGGACCCCGCACCTGCTTCGACTAGAATCAACCTCCACCAATTATGTTACTTTTCTACTTCAAGACAATATGCATCATGCAAAAGAGGCGATCGGCAGCTGTCCGATATGTGGACACAGATCGGCCTCAGAATATGCGTCATCTGTTAGATGAAGTCAAATGTTATGATTTGGATTCAGAGCGTCCCGAAATGCTAATCGAACGAGGATTATACATTCAATCAGTCGAAAGTGCGGATCTAAGAAGAGGGGTACTACTGATTCTTGCACGTGCAATGGATCCGGTGTCCAAGACAACCACTCTAAGATCTCTGTCAAACTTTCTAGATGATGCGATGTGTTCCCCATATAAAGAAGCCGGATACTTGGCGCAAAACGTCAATCTGATCCTATATGTAGCGGAGCAAGTGCTTGATGGTGGCGTCGAACGAGGCTACACAGCAATTATTCAAAAATAACAAATTTCTGAACGACCTCAATCTCCAATGAAAGGCTATACATATCCGGTACTTGACTCATCTCAAGAACCTTGCCCATTCTCTTTAGTGGTTCCAGCTAATCTATTTCATCAACTTCCACGAAACAGGTTTTGCTTTTCTTCTCCATCAACCTGTCTCTCAATCCTCCGTAGCGCTCATCGAGGGCTTTCCAATCTCTCATAGGAACGACTTGATGAGAACCTCGGCGAACACCATGCGAATATTTCGCCAATTGTATCGTAAGTCCTAGCCCGCCTTCCAAGATCATTTTGATCACGTTCCTTTTTTTTGTTGCGGTCAGCTTCTCCCCCACGAAAGAAGTTCGCGGCCTATATAAGGCCTCTAGATTACCGAGAGAGCTTCCAAACTCTCCCATATCAAAGACTTCTAACAGCTTCTCCTCCCCACCATCTCCACCAACAATCTCAAAGCTCCCAAACACGGCGTTGTTGATCTCTTCAGGAGCTACGCCTGCTAAGGCCGCCAGCACGCACCAAGCATAATTAACTCCATTTGCTGGCCTATTTCTCACATCGAGATACTCTTGGACATTTTCCGTTTGTTGCCCTTCGTGGATAGCCATGCTGAGGGTGCCGTTGGTAGATGCATAAGTGGAAGTGACGAACCTGCAGAAAGCAATATGATTAGCAATTGCCAGCACACTTATGCATCTATCCAATCTAGCCTTCTTTCATGCTCAATTGCTCTAGAGCCCACCGACTGAACCAAAGCATATTCTTTCCTCGAACTCGCATGCTTCAGCTAGAGTATCTACTGGAACCATGTATTTATATAACAGTCAATTAGATGCAACTCGAAGGACAAGCATCCAGGCTTCTGTTGCAGATAAAGCGCAAGGACGGCGGCGTATACCTCCACTCAGCATTGGAGAAAGTATCTTAAGGGTTGGAACAAACCTCTCATAGTTCTCGACTTCATCGTCAGACTCTTGGCATGCATCCCTCGCACATATTTTTCCACGAACTTGCGATCTACATTGTTGTATTGGATTCCGTAGTCAAAAACGGCCTTGCAGTATATCTCGTACCTGAGAACGTCCTGTTTAGTGACGCCTCCAGAGGGCGAATTCAGCATGCCTTGAATCTTCTCGAACTGATTCCAAGTTATGAGATGCCTTTTGCGCCACTGGTCAATTGTCTCATCAACGACTTCCTCAGCTGTCCCTAGGACAGACATCGCAGCCTCTCCCTCTGTCCGCATGCTCAATTGATTCACCACGCTGACCCCTTGCCGCTGAAGATCCTCTGTGACCAGCTCGACATAGTATTGCCGACTTTGCAGCCGGCCCAACAAATTGTTTGCATACAGGTTGCACGTTGCAGAGGTGCGATCATAAATAGGACGCTCTCCGGGAGCACCCCGCAACATGTCCAGATGATCCATCGAGACCCCTTGCATCATATCGGCTAATTGCTGATCGCTATCCTCTAACATACGAAACACCTCTTCTTTGGTACTCGGGTAAGCAATTATGCGGCGGCTGGGGATCTTGCCGTAGAAAATTTGGATATCTCCAGCATCTCTCGCCCTCTGTATCTGCTGCATTAGAACCTGGACGTCGGGATGATGATCGGAGTTAATCGCCACCGCAATTACCACATCGTAACTATTCTTTTTCTCAATCGATACACCAGGGCCAATGGTGGGCGTAAATGCAAGGCAATCCGCAATAAGCGCGTCGTCTGGATTCGAGATTGCGTGCTGCAGCAGCATCTTGTCGGATGTCTCTCGCTTGTCGCCATGAAAAGCAATGAGCTTCTTTTCCGGAAGTCGAACCTTGAACGCAGCCTCCAGCAGCTCGACGAACATCTTGCTTGTGGCGGGAACCTGGAATGCCGCGACAAGGAAGGTTTGAGTCACGGAATTTTTGAACGACTTCTAGTAGCTTCTAGGGCTGAGGGCCTCGCCTCACGATCTTGGGCCTCGAGAGTGACAATTCAAAGAGTGCGTAGATCGAGTCGGAACGTGAATGGGAGAAAAGGAATTCTTGAACCGCGACTGATTCCGAATTTTTGTCCCATTTGTGGCATAGCCTACGCCTGCCATACTTACAGCCCTCGAGCAACAGGAGCAAGAATGCCTTTGGAGATAAAGTCGGAAGCCAGATGGGAAAAAAAAATATTCCTCAACTATACGTTTTCTCGAATCGCAAGTTTTTTTTGTTCCCGTCTCAACTGATATTGAGGGTCTGCTGGGCTTCCAAAGCCCCGGAGCAACAGACGCAAAAATGCCCATATCGAGTCGGAAGGCGAGCGGGGAAAAAAGGGCATTCCTATTATATACGTTTTCTTGAATCGCAAAAATTAATTTTTCCCGTCCATCCGAGGCTGAGGGTCTGCCGGACTTGGGGCCTCGACTCTCGAAGCGATCGATGAAGAGGGCAAAAAATAGAGTCTGAGCTACAAAGATCAGGGAGCTGAGTCTCTCTCGTGAGCTTTGGAACGCAGGAGTGCGGAACAGATCGTCAATCAGTTAAGTCGAGAGAAGCGATTTCAGTAACGGTGCTCACCATGACACTTTTCTCGGATGCCACAAGGTCTAAAACTCTCTCCACTACCAGAGAGTAGGTCTCCTTGGGCTGCCGCTTTCCCTCAAGCGGTCCAGGCATGGGCATGATGAAGGCCTTTCGGGTCGAAGGCCAGACGCCGAGATTGCGGATGGTGTAGAAACGGCTCGTGTGCCGCAGGGTTTGGATCCATTCTACCACGCGGGGGCAGTTCAGATGGGCGTCGCATAGAAACGCCGCTTTTGCGCTAGCAACAATCCCCTCGAGGGCCATAAAGACCCGCTTCTTGTCCTTCATGACAGTTGACGCCATGTTGGTCAGCGTGAAGTTGACTTCGTCCATGACCACCAGATCGAAGTAAGGCAGTACCCTCGCTATCGAATTGATACAAACCACCACCCGCCTTGCAGTTATCTTCCCCCCTGCCTCATCGAGGTAGCATACAAAATCTAGCCCGTCCTTCTTGGTCTCTTCGTGGTATTTTCTAGCCAGGGCGATATTCGAAGCGATCAGACAGACGGAAGCCTCGGCGGGCAATTTGGGCAATAGCCCATGAAAGAGCTCTTTGGACTTCCCCGCGCCCATGTTGGCCATCACGAGAGTCGTCTGAGGCTCTGCATCACGGCAAAGGTTGGGGACGGGGTACCCGAGCATCCGTCCGACGATGTTGTACTCGCTGCTCCAGGACACGATACACTCCGCATCCAGTTGCAGGACCCGTTGTAATCGCTCAGTGCTGCTGCCGCCATGTACTGCAGCGCCGCTGTGAATGAATAGAGTTGAATGTTTCAAGAGGCCATTTTGAGAGCACGATAAAACACACAAGTTCGGCGCCTCACCGTTTTGCTGATGGACTTTGAGAACCTGCCGCCTATCTGTCCATTCCATGCTGAAGCTCAACCGCGCTTGGGCAGAACCTTGTCTTGTGTCGCAGTTCAGTAACTAAACTTTTCCTTGATCGGATCTTGGGGTCTTGCGGAAGACGAAGCAGAACACGAAAGACCCTTTCAATGTCCTCACCTGCAGGACGTCGAATGGCACCTGTAGAAGGCCCTGGATGGCGAGCGCCTGCTGTACACCAGGTAACCGCACGCGTTCCCCGGAGACGAGTGCGCTCGCCCCGCTATCCAGCAGAAGGGGGTGTTGACTCCGAAGTGCACCGTGAAGACGTCCTCGCCCATGGCTTCAGCTCGGAGGATCCAGGCGCCTGGATGGTCCCTCTGGTACCTTCGCAGCAAGCGGTCTTTCTCCACATTCGTCAGAGGGTGTTGCACGTGAGCTCTCTCCACAAATGTTCCCCTGAGCCCTCGTGCTGGAACCCTCGCAGGGTGCTGAGAGACGGATGCCGCAGGTTCCGCCCGCTGGTTGTAAGCCGCCAGCAGGTCGCCGTCGAGTTCCGAGGCCGCTGCTCTGTCTGCTGGACTGTGAAAGCCGATCAAGTGGTCCGCAATGTCGCGAGAGCTCCCGACTGTTGGCGCGAGAGGACGGCCCGACCCCTTCTTTTCGGAGTAAAGGGTGCGCCAGTTCTGAAACGAGCTATAAACGGTTGTGTCGATGAGGCACTTCTCGACAAAGACTCCTTCCTTATTGTCTTGGAAGAAGAGGAATTCGCAGCTCCGCCGCAGCTGCTTCGGGGGGTTTTTAAGGAAAAGAGCCAGGGCTTTCTTCAACTCGACTCGGGTGGACGAGTCCTTCAGACAGAAGCCTTGCAGGCAGACATGGGCGCTGAACTTATACCCTCCGTTTTTGTGCTTCCCATGGGCGGTCGCAACCTGAAAGGCAATTGCTTCCGAGGGGACCTTGAGGACCTGCTCGAGGAAGCCACGCAGCACAATGTCGCAATGTTCGAAACGTTCTTGGAAATCTCCTTCGTCCCGGCCCCTTGTTGAATAGTCGATGTCAACATAAAACTTCGAAGAGGTATGCGCGTCGATGCATTCGTAGTGATTCAGGACGATACCCTCTGCCCGCAGCCTTTCCAAATAACCCACGAAGACGCCAGCGTTCGCAAAGCTCGAAAACTTCTTATGCCCCCCGGAGGAATACAAGTCACAGGATCCAATCAGAGCGTGCTCTTGTGCTTGCTGGTGCACAACGGCTGGTGCCTTCTTGTGGAACCAGAGCTGGCCGAGGAAGTCTTCGTCCAAAGGATGATGCTGCAGACATACAAGAGATGCTGTCAGATATGCAGGCCCGGAGAGCGAGTCATTGGTAGTATCTGGCCCCAGAGTGATAAACGAATGACTAAACCGCATAGCGCAGATCGACATGGGAAAAAAAAGCTTTTATAACCTATATACTTTCTGAATCTGGAAAGCTTTTTATTCCCGATGCATTGGGCTTTAGATGCGGGCATTCTTGGGGCCCGAGAGCGATCCTGGGCACCCAAATGACGAGTTCTCATGAGCCCAAGTTTCGAGCCGTCCCCACCATCCTACTTCGTTCCGATCTGCAGAACTGCTTACGTGGTTACTACCATCAGCCACATTAGCCAAGCTATTCCATCCCCGGAGGTGAAAGTGTGCCTTCTGCTTTTCGGGCCGCAGCAAGAGCTCACATGTTCGAAGGAGAAGCAAGGCTCTTCTTCCTGCTTCCGCTTCACGCCCCTTTGGCTCGGCAACAACATGGCGCTCGTGCTATCAGGAGGTGCCTGAGGGAATTGGTGGGTATGTCAGATGTTGCTGACGGCATCGTCTGAGAATTACAACTCGAGAGCGAATTCAACAGGCCATTCTGGACTCAAGAAGTGCAAGGCATATGAGGGCTTGGAACTGCCACGTGGCACTTTTTGCTGGTCGAAAATGCTCGGTGCGCCCCTAACTGAAGCTCTAATTCAAAGGCACGCAAGCTGTCCTACTAGCCTCGACGTACGTGCATGCAAGCTGGTTGACATGGTACCTTGACTTGCCTGCTGCAAGGAGTTGCCGTCCCTCGTGACAGTGGCAGCAGGATTCATGAGTTCCTCGCTGGCATCGAGGGAGGCGTTGGAGTCAGAGCGCTCTTCTCTAGCAAGGGTAGGCGGGATGTTGGTGCTGAACTCGTGAAAGGGGGATCCGGCGTCAAAGGCTCGGCTGACAATGGGGCCCTGGCAAGAGGGGGACTCGTTTAATCCGTGCCACTGATGATCTAGCGAATGAATGAATGGCTGTTGCAAGGCAGGCAGCACCGACCCTAAGCCCCAGAGGGGGCGGGAAAAAACAACTTTCGCGATTCAAGAAAACGTACAGATAAGGGGATTTTTTTTACCCCCATCTGCCTTCCGACTCAATCTATGCATTGTTGTATCTCAGCGCTCCAGGGCCCCTGTAGAAGGCCGTGGGTATCATGTATTGATACTGGAAAGCATCACAGGGGCAGCATCGCCTACCGAGAGCACATCAGTCAAGCGCTGCATATAAAAGACCGGCAAATGCATCTGCTGAGAATTTTTCTTCGAAATGGAGCAACCTGCGGGTTGGGATTAGAGATGCACTCTACTCTCAGCAACGGGTCCAAGAAAAACGCTCACCTCCATCCACACTTCTGTCACTCTCGAGTTCCCATCACCGCTCTCCACGTGCTTCTCACTGACCCTTGGGCCCGTTTGCGATAGAGGCGGGACCAAGGCTGACGCTGATTTCGAGCTGCCCACCGCTTTGAATGAGGGCCCTGGATTGCTCTCGATGCCTCCAATCATCAGGAAAGTGGCTGCAGAGTTTGAAAAGACGACCTTGCGATTGGGTAGGCAGCCATATGGAACAACTCGGATATCTCAGATCAAAGCTAACAAAACCGTGTGCAGGGCGTGTGCATCACGTGCACGCACTGAGAACAACGTCCAGGTCTCCACTTGTAAGGAATTTGAATCCCTTACCTAGAAGTTCATGGCTCAACGGCTTTGATGGAGAAAGCGCTGCTTTGGAGCTGGCCTGATCCCAAACCGCACAAGCGAAAAGAGTCAACGCAAAGCTTGGAGACTTTACCACTGTTTCGAAAAGGCTCTGCCAGAGTCATGCTATCAGCTGCACAAGAGTGGACTTCTAGCATGTAGTAAAAGGCTGACTGTTCCTTTGAGGTCCGGGTCGAGTCCTCCGGAGCATTTTGCATCCCAGCGGGAATAGGAAAGTTGGTAATGAGGATTTTGAGTAGGAGTTTTGGATTTTATAGGCCCGCAGACGGGCAGCTCCTGCGGTCCGGTCCGGTCCCGATGCCACGTACAAGCTCCGAAAGGCCATAATATACAGTGGACTGATCCAGACACTAGAAGGTGGCAAAGACTACCAAGTCGGACCGAAATAAGCTGCAACGTACCTACACGAGGGATTGGACCGGAGCACCGGACCGTGAGTGCACCCCGAAGTTAGCGGATCGGTTCGGGCCCCGGGTGTTTTACCGGACCAATTCCGGGGCGACCGTAGCGCGGCGCGGCAGCGCGTTTCGCCAATTGGGGGCGACGCGTGGCACAATGTGGTTGGTCCTTTTATGCCGTTCAACAGATGCCTTGGACGTCGAAGAATAAACGGATTGCAATTAGCTGGGAGTCTGAGACGTTGACACTTAACACCGAACGGATGAGATTTGCGCGGTTGTCTGAGAGGGCAGATGAGATACAAAGGTACTAATGCGATCAGCATGTTCTTCGTCTTGTAGAGTTTGAAAACGTGAGCAGTTAGATAAGTGTGAGCTTACGACGAGGCAAAGAGCCAATCGAATCGTGTCGCATGAGAGGAGGGGGCAGACTGCAGCGTACTACTTGGCACGAGAAAAAGGTAGCACATGTGGGCATTTGCTGAACCAGAGGATGGAGCAAGTTCTGACCCACAGTGACTGCTGCAAGTTCTGGAACGTTCCAACCCGTTGCACCAACTCAGCACTATCTGTATTCTTGTCGTGTGGAATTGTATCCAAATTCCTGACCCTGTTTTGGCATCCAAATCTGCGGGTTCCTTGTAGCAATAAGCATGCATGTGCCAGAGCCAATCTTCATCTCTCAACACACCAATCTTTCTAAGAGCTCACATCTGAGACTTGGTCTGCTGATAGCCAGCTCTTTCAAACCCCCAAACTCTACGCGTTCGCACCGCTTTCGCGGCTCTCTCCGGACCCGACGCGCTAGTCGTGGGGCGCAGCAATTGAAAGCCGGCTTTGCAGCACCTTTTGGGGGACGTCAACCAGCTCGTTTTCGTAGAGTCGGAAAGAATAGAAACGGAAAGAACAGGTGGAGCTGGGGCTCAAGAAGGCTTCACACTTCTCCGTCAAATGGATAAATTTTGTCTAAAGGAGCTGAGCACTTTTTACCACGTTCGAGGTACGGAGACTACTTTCGAGATACAATAATTTGCGCTTTTAGCTCGTTGTTGTCCGTGACAGAATATGTTGACCATTTAGTAAGTAACAAAAAGGGCATCCTCAAAGCCCTCATCCCCAAAGCTAACGAAGCGAACCCTGCGTAAGGAGGAGAGGGAAAGATAAATGGTGGGAAATTTTTGATGCTTCAAAAGGCGAAAATTGAACTAAAGCGACGCGCAGGAGGAGCAGCCAGGCTTTAGGGCAGGCCACACCGTTACCAATGCGGAGGGAGGTCGAGGCAGATGGGAGACCGGCAGCTGTGAAAGAGAGGCCACCCGAGCTTCCGTTGAGATCGGATCGTCAGGAGAACAGAGAGGTGCGAACACATACTCGAGAAATTGCGCGCACCCACGGAGAAGGATCCCCCGAGACGGTGGGGATTCGGAGAGAGCGAGTTGCAAAAAAGGTGCATCAGCTGGCGCGACTCGTGGAAGAGAGCACATGACGAGCATATCAAGCCGTTCGGCAAATCCGCCCACAACGGCCATCTTGATCTAAGTAAAAAGCAGAGTACGGGACGGTTACTGTCTTGTCGTACTGGCCATCCGCGTCGTTTCGACTTGCAAGCTAATATGATATTGTACTTTGCAGTCCGGACTCTGGGTCAACAGTCATGGTCCTTTGACCCCTAGTTCCAAGCCCTCTTTGCGTTGATTCAGCAGCCAAGACGGCGGCATACCCCCATGTGTTACTAAGTTAGGGTTTGCTTTTTGCACGAATAAAAGAAAGCCAGACAGAAACTTCGAGTGCCGTGCATGGAATATATTGGCCTGCATACATGGCGTATGTTTGCATGGGTTGCAATCTCTGGCAACTAGATAGATCGCGGCACACCCTTGTGAGGGAGATGTGAATCTGCACGAAAGTAGGCAGGCTCTGGAGTGGCCAATAAGCCCATTCCCTACAGGCTCATGCAGAGGTATCCAGAAGATACCACTAGCTTAGGCCACAATCTTCATATAAGACTCAGAGGCGTTGTGAAATCTGCTTTGCCTCACTCTTTCGAGGAAACATATCATCATCCAAGCGAAGAGGAGAAGCATTCACTTGCTTATTCTAGCTCACAATTTTGGCATGCAAGTGACACTCTCCAGATTACATGGCAAGCGATGACACAGTCACGGTCGAGTCTCCTGATTTGAGATGGAAAAAAGCTGCTCACGTATTTCAGGTCCACTTTCGATTGCGCTCTCAGTTTAAGATATGTTTTGAGTAGAGCTCTTGACTAATTGGAGGAGCGCTATTAGTCTCACTGCGCTTTGACAACTAAGATGAGACATTTGAGCGATATGCGTACGACAATCTGAAACGACTCTGATCTCGAGAGCATCACATGCCCACTGCCACTACCATATCAGGGCAGCGCCCACTTTTGCGCCGCATAGAAGGACTCCACCACATGCCACAAGTTCTGCTCCTTCAAAACGGGGGCCATCTCCAGCAGATACCCCTGAAGGGCGGCTGCCATGTAGTTACCGGGCCAGGTTGCGGACGGTACAGACTGCAGGATGGGAAGGACGCCTTCGACATAGGCGCAGGCCCAATGCGGCTCCGTGACTCTGTGGAAATAGTTGAAGTTCGCCTCAGCTTCGCTGCACAACCGTGGCTCATCAAAGTTTGCGCAGATGTGAGTGCCATACAGAAGCAGTGGCCGATCCCCAAGCTTTCCAACTGAAGCCCCCGACGCGCCCGGCGTCGTTGATGCTCGGATCTTCCCTAGCTCCTCAGAGTGCGCAATTGGATCCCCCACGCTCACGGACACGGTGTCTGCAGATCAGGACACAACCCGTCAGCTTACCATCAAGACTGTATGGTCGCAATGAAAAGATCCACGACATCCCAATAAATGGTAGGGCTGAGGGATTGACAACGAGCTTTCATCGTTACTTGTGTCCACGCTTCATTCCCTCTTTCGTGTCCTCCAACGAGAAATCGGTGCATGAAAACTGAGACTTCAGTTTCTCGTAACCATCTCTGGCCACTGAGAAATTCAACCAACTCCACCACTGCCGAACGGAGCAAGTCCTTGTGGTAAGCAATGATGCAAAAGAAAGATTCACAGCAACAAGAGCCAATGCATATAGGTGCATAGGTCTAATTTGGGCAGCATACCCTTGTCTTCGTGCTCTGCAAATCGTGCACAGCTTCAGCGCACCTTCACAGAAGTGCATACGTTCAGTGGTCCTGAAAATAATTCTGCTGATAGGTATACACATAGAAACAAACGCTCCTAGGCAAAGTCTTCGTTGCTAACGGCCTAGTAATTGACTTACCGGGGCACAGGACTTCCGTATTCATTTGGTAGGCGAGGAGCTTCTCCCGCCCCTTCGGGACCTTGTAAGTCGCATTGATAGCGCCCTCCCTGACTGCCCCTGCAATTTACACAGAAGCAAAAAGTCGTATTCCCTGAGGAGCATACACTAGCGAGCTGTTATCCTGATGTACAAGTGACGATTCGATAATGCACAAGGTGCGTGAAGTCCTGACCCCTCGCAGACCCCGCAGCAGAAGACTGGTGCTCTTGGATGCTCTAAGGCACAGCCCTTCATATTTATGGAGCAGCTTGATGTCTTCCAGTCCCTGAGAAAACAATCCATCCTTCAATCACCCAATCAGGCGATTTCATAAGATGAATCTCGGTTGCATTGAAGGTGTAGATGAGTCACACAGAGATATTCAGGCCCAGTCAGCACTGATCGGGGCTCACTATCACATGTATGTCAAAGTCAACAAGCTATAAATTGACATCATGGGCAGAACTGCATAGAGCGGGAGTGCAGAAAGAAAAAGGTTCATTGTTAATCTTTCCAAAGTGCTGCCAGCAAGCCTGTGATAACAGGACTCCAGTCTCCTGAGCATCTTTAAACCACAATGAAGCAGTTCCTGTCACTCACCCGGCACTTGAAGAACATAGTAGGTCTGCCCCGGCACCGGCTCTTCTGCAGTTGGAACATACCACCACTGGTTCGTGTGCTTGCGGTCATTGGTGTAGGGGAAAGGCTGGTTTGTGAAGGGGCTGCATTCTGCCCGGATGACACCTATCAAGAAGTCTAGACTATGGGGCCGACCAGAACTTGCGGTCTCCTTCACCCCGGAGTAGACGCGGGACCGGCTTCTACCAGCCACATCTGGTGAGACGTAGCTGGTAGCTCGGCCGGGTCTTGTCGGAACCTCGTTGCGCGCAAGGATCTCCACTCCGGTCTTCCACGCCCTTGAGGAGGTCATGGGCCCAACTGAGGAGCGGGCAGTAACTGATGGAATCTGTTCCAAGTAGCAAGGAAGTTGGAATTGAGAACAAATAAATCCAACTCCTTCAACTTGCTGCCAATGATCCATGAAGGTCTTCTTGCTTTAACTACACAGACAAATTGCAGAAACATCTATCCACCAGTAGTCTGTCCATTGTCAAAAGCAAGGCTGCAGCCGTTTGCTGCACCTATAAATGCCAGCCCCAATGGTTTCCCATATCTACAGCTGTATACACATTTCTCGGCAGCCTGACCCCGTTGTCTTTGGTGAATCCTCCCAAAACTAGGAGGTGAATGCATATGATAGAGGTTGTGATCAGCAACTGAGAAGCACAGAAAGAGACCGTGAAGCACAGAAAGAGACCAAGAAGCATAGCCAGTGCTCTGATGATAACCCTTCCTGAATGGCAATGCAAAAGCAACCCTTCAGTGCCCTTCTCTTTTGTGCTTCCAAAGTTTCCTTTACCAGCTTAGATCCACCTCTCCTGGTGAAGCACTTGAGCAGTGTGACCAACACCAACTCGACTGGCGCCATCTCAGATAGCTCTGACTAAAACAGTTATCATAACCTCCGTCCCTTGAGCCTGCCCAAACTAGTCTTGTGTTGCTTCATAAATTCTCCTCACGAGAATACCTTGGAAGGTAAGGCAGATCCTCAATTGTGTTGGCAAGCGCTGGCTGTAGGACTTACCCCTGTGCCTTCCGCGATGGCATGCCCTGCCGATCCAAAGGCCACTACGTGATAAGAGCGGGGGCTGAGGACTGACGCATCCTGCTTAACCTTAGCCGCAAGCGTGTTCACATGTGCATCCAGCTCTGCTGTTCGACAAACAGGCGGGGACAACATGTATGCTGTCGCGCGGCCGCCGGTCCCATCTCTTAGTGGCAGAACCTGCGCCCCATTGAAACGCAGCCGCTCGGCATGCAGCAGCTGCTCGTCGGCAGGCAGGTCATTGCTGCAAAAAGGACCAAAGAATTACACATCAGATGACATGTTGCCGGCAAGAAGAACAAAAACACCGAGGTCAACATCACCAGCTATCCATGAACAAAACCTCATCCATGAACAAGACCTCATTTATAACACAGCATCCAATTGAGCAAGCGCGATGGACACAAAGGACACCTGTATCCAATTAGTGATATACGCCCTAGAAACCTCAGACCATTGTGTCTCACTTCAAACCAAGATCACTGAAAGGGACGAGAAGACCCATGGTGTGAACTCACTCAAAGACGAAAGGAGCGGCTGTGGCAAGTTGGAAGTCTTCATCGAGCGGCCAGATCTTCTTAAAGTCCTTCACTTCGTGCGTCCACTTCCCTTCCTGACGGATAAGTCGCTCCTGCGACGGGGCCTCGTCCATGGCAATTCCCAGCAGACAGCGAGGAGTAGCGGGCACAGAGGTGCTCTGCTCGAAATTGCTCAGCCACGTTGCTCGCAGGGACTTTCTACTGTGTGGCTTGGACGCTCCTGAACACCAACGAACGTTCTCATGGTTATGGTCAGGGGAGCAGGGACCTGGCAGGGAGCAGCGACCTGGCAGGGAGCACCTGAAGTTCGCCGCTACATATACCGTAGTCCAAGGTAATGAGTCCGAATAAATAAATAATTATTTGCATTCGGAAAGTCAGAAATTCAGCTTTCCCGTTCGGAAAGTTCAAATTCGGAAAAGTAAAATAATCCCGAAATGGTCCTCGGAAGGCGAGAAACTGCCAAAATAGGCCTCAAATTTCTTTTTCAAGTGCAAACATAGGGCATTCGGATTCTGGTCGGAATCTGCATTAATAATTGCGCATTCCTGGTCGGATTGTTGGAAAATATTACTGGGAAAATCCGTTCGGAATCATCACGTTGGACTACGGTACCTTTGCACACCAGTTGGCGCGTCGAATATCCACCCAACCCATGGCCCGGCCAATTTCCCTGCAGCATACGCGATGAACCATAAGGAGCTGGAAATACCATAAGGTTTCGAGCTTCACCCTTACCGCGCAGCGGCAGACCGTTTCCGTGCATTCCCTTGACTTGAAGTCCCAGCCTAGATCCTAGCATTCTCGACATTCCTAACAGCAACTGTGGGCACCTACAAACCCCGAAGTTAGCGGGTCGGTTCGGGCCTCGGGTGTTTTACCGGACCGATTTCGGGGCGACCGAAGCGCGGCGCGGCAGCGCCTTTGGGGGAAAGGGGGGGACGCGTGGCACAATGTGGTTGGTTCTTTTTATGCCGTTCAACAGATGGTTAGTTG